TTAGTTGAAAAATAAAAGTTGCACTTTGTTTTCCAACTAAAGTCCAACTTCAGTTAATTATAAGAGAGGAAAAAAAGTGCAACTTGTTGTGATATATCTATCTTGTAATATATCTCATAGTAGACTTGTGCACTAAGTTTGTGTAAATATTGACTGAGCTTTTGTAATGATACGTGTCACTCTCTCTTTTATGTATATCTCAGCATTGTGACTAAGCTTGTAATTATGTTTGTATAAATAGCTCACTTAAGTATGAATATAACATAATTTCTTCAACACAATACATTAGCTTTTATTCAACATATGTCTTATATCTCACTTATATATCTTTATATAGAAAAAGGCTTTCAATTCCACGGCACATAATTCTTGTGCTTGTTCTGTACGAGAACAACTTGTTCTTGTTAAATTGTAAAGCTAATTTCTGTTATTCTATATATATATATTATATAAATATTTGGTAATATATTTTATATTTCACAACACGTTATCAGCACGAGTTTTTGCTCTACAAAATTATAGGTAAATATGGAGAACATTGACAAAAGAGAAAATTGCCTACTCGATAGTGCAACTACACACTCAATATTCAATAATAAAATATATTTCTCGAGTGTGACTTTGTGCAAGGCACAAGTTAAAACCATTGCAGGTTCCGCGGAAATAATAGATGGCTCCGGGAACGCAACAATTGTGTTGCCTAATGGTACCACTTTGCATATTGAAAATGCATTGATATCAGGTAGATCAAATAAGAATCTACTGAGTTTTAAAGATGTGAGACATAATGGATATCATTTAGAGACACTGGATGAAAAAACCGTGGAATGTCTCTGCATCACATCATATGTTATGGACAAAAGAATTGTTCATGAAAAACTCGAAGCGACAGCTTCTGGAGTGTATTGTTTCGAAATTAGAGCTTTCGAATCCTATGCCACTATGCCATGGAAACTTGTTAATCCCGATATACACGGGTTATGGCATGATCGACTGGGTCACCCAGGAACGACAATGATGCGTAGGATTGTACAACATACTAAGGGACATCCATTAAAAGATACAAAGATCTTAATGTCCAATGAATATTTTTGTGAATCATGTTCACAAGGAAAGCTCATTATAAAACCTTCCATCGAAAAAGTCGGTTATGAATCACCATCGTTTTTACAACGTATTCATGGTGATATTTGTGGACCAATACACCCTGCAAGTGGGCCATTTAGATATTTTATGGTTTTGGTGGACGCATCTTGTAGATGGTCCCACGTATGCTTATTATCTTCGCGAAATGTTGCATTTGCGCGTTTGCTAGCACAAATTATTAAACTCCGAGCACATTTCCCTGATTATCCCATTAAAAACATAAGAATGGATAATGCCGGAGAATTTACATCAAAAACTTTTGATGAGTATTGTGCAGCACTGGGAATAAATGTCGAGCACCCAGTAGCATACGCTCACACTCAAAATGGACTGGCGGAATCTCTGATTAAACGCGTCCAAATAATTGCTCGTACTTTGCTGATGAGATCTAAACTCACTAGTGCAGCATGGGGCCATGCAGTATTGCATGCATCAGCGCTGATTAAATTACGCCCCACTGCTTATCATATGCATTCCCCAATGCAATTGGCCTTAGGCTTTGAGCCCGATATTTCGCACCTTCGCACATTTGGTTGCGCTGTGCAAGTGCCAATTCCTCCTCCTCAGAGGACTAAAATGGGTCCCCAACGCCGACTTGGCATATACGTTGGGTTTGATTCACCGTCGATTACGCGTCGGCATAACCAACTAACTGGATATTTGTTTTGTTACAATGGTGCAGGTATATCTTGGCGATCTACCAAACAGACATTGGTAGCCACCTCCTCAAACCATTCTGAAATAATAGCACTTTATGAGGCTGGCAGAGAATGCGTTTGGTTAAGATCAATCATATCACATATACGAAATTCCTGCCAATTAAATCCAGTTACAAATACGCCCACTATCATTTATGAAGATAATGCTGCTTGCATAGCACAAACAAAGGGCGGATACATAAAAGGTGATATGACCAAGCATATATCACCAAAGTTCTTTCATACACATGAGCTTCAGAAGAATGGCGAAATTAATGTCCAACAAATTCGCTCATGTGACAATCTTGCTGATTTGTTTACAAAATCCTTGCCAACTTCTACATTTGAAAAATTGGTGTACAATATTGGAATGAGAAGAGCCAATATGAAGCAAGATTGACAGCCGTCCCTGAGGCTATAATATTCATTTCAGGGGGAGTAATTGTGCGCTGCACTCTTTTTTCCCTTTGACTGGTTTTGTCCCATTGGGTTTTCCAGCAAATGTTTTTAACGAGGCAGCTTATGCACGTGACTTGGATTTGAAATGTGCACTCTTTTCCCTTTCGACCGATTTTTGTCCCATTGAGTTTTTCGGCTTGAGGTTTTTAATGAGACATACATACACGTTTTTACTCATCCAATTTTCAATTAGTGCTTCGTCTAAAGGGGAGTGTTGTGATATATCTATCTTGTAATATATCTCATAGTAGACTTGTGCACTAAGTTTGTGTAAATATTGACTGAGCTTTTGTAATGATACGTGTCACTCTCTCTTTTATGTAAATCTCAACATTGTGACTAAGTTTGTAATTATGTTTGTATAAATAGCTCACTTAAGTATGAATATAACATAATTTCTTCAATACAATACAGTAGCTTTTATTCAACATATGTCTTATATCTCACTTAGATATCTTTATATAGAAAAAAGCTTTCAATTCCACGGCACATAATTCTTGTGCTTGTTCTGTACGAGAACAACTTGTTCTTGTTAAATTGTAAAGCTAATTTCTGTTATTCTATATATATATTATATAAATATTTGGTACTATATTTTATATTTCACAACACAATTTCATTAATATGAGTAAAGATCATGTATTTTATAATTAATATAGAGATTTAATATTTTTCATCTAAATTGAAATAACGCATTGAACATCTCCAAGGGGATTTCATCGTTCTCGCAAGGTGAAAACCCAAACCCAGCCAAAAATTGCTCCCAGCCCATTGATTTTTTTCGTTTCTCTGTCGATTATTTGATTCCCCGTCTCTGTAATTTTTTCAATTAGGTTTCGATTATGTTCAAACCAAGCTCCGGCGAATCGTGTCAATTAGGTTTCGATTCTGTTCAAACCAAGCTCCGGCGAATCGTGTCAATTAGGTTTCGATTCTGTTCAAACCAAGCTCCGGCGAATTGTCTCCGGCCGCGAACAGCTCAAAATCGCCTTCGATTCGCTCCATTACCAGATTAGAACTGGTTTGCTCGAGGTATAATTCCAATCGACGCGTTGTTTGATTTCTCCGACTCTTTTCAATTATTTTAAAATTATTTCTCTTTCCGTTTCAATTATTTTAAAATTTCTGAAGTTCTCGTTGTTTGATTCTCCGTCTCTATAGTTCTTATAATAAGACTCCTGAATAAGCGGTCACAATTCAGTGGAAATCAGTGAGCATACATCACAATTGGACCACAAACATCTAAAATTTCTGTTTCCAGGTTAGGTTTATTTTATGGTTTAATAATATGTATATATGTGCATTCATAGAGATCTTCAAATTCGGGATTTATTGTTGAAGCACATTTATGATATTTATTTCTTTTATTTTTGTGGGAAAATGAAAAGGGGGATATGGTTGGCCATATTGAGTTATACAAATTAACACGGTGTAGATCCGAAGATGAGTTCGATGAAGGGTGTTGAGTTAATGAAGGTGCAAAAGAAAAATATGTAAGATTTATTACTATTTGTTTTAGTTATCCTGTGACTCGCTGTGATTAGTTCCTATAAATAATCATTTTTTTATTATAGTACAAAATGTTGGAGCTTCAGAACAAGAAACTTGATGAAGGAGAACTTATAGTGGATGAAGAGAACATATGTGGTGAAGTTTTAGGGTTTAAATCTGGTTATATTCGTCGTAGAGGAGCTGGACCTAAACCAAAAAGATTCTTGCCAAATCAAAATTATGGGAAGGAGTTGGAAGAGGCCAAGATAAATGCCAAGTTAGCTCAGGTACGAGCTGAGGAAGCTGCGCACAAAGTTATGGTACTTTTTGATAAATTGGATAAGCAACAAACTTTAATCCAAGAGTTTAAAGAAGGGTTAATTGCAACACAAAAGACAATGGTGGAAGGTCAAAGGTCAACGACAGAGATGATGTCTTTTTTTGATCAATTTCGTCGAATGAGTCAGTTTCCAACTATGTCTCCATGGTATGTAACTAAATTCAATTTTTTTTCTTATTGTTTATTGCTATTGTATTAAATCGAAATTGGATTACTTTTTAGGTTTTCTGCACCTCCAAACCAAAATCAACATAACATGCAAGGTTTTATGCATGGAATCGGCTCACAGAAAGTTCAAAATTCTTGTAAAGACTCTGATGCGTAAGTATCTTGTACCATTCAATTTTAGTTTTCTTAACTTTATTTTGTAAGTATTGTTCGTTATCAGTTTTTCGAACGAACGTGAGCTACGAGATTTATTTCGAGAAGTAGGCAAGTATCCCGTGCCTACTTCATTTTGACAGAGGGGTTGATATTTCAGGTATTGTATACAAATTTTCTTCTTCTTTATTTTTATTTATGTGATCTGATTTAGGTTTTTCATTGTTCAACAGAAGGAAGTTGACAATGTTAATAAAAGAAAATTACAACAGAAGGAGAATACATATTGATAGGTGCTTTTGCATATTACCTCAATTTTGACTATTTTCATGTACAAGATTCTGCATATCAGCTACTCTGCTTATCTCACTATTAGATTATATTTTTTTACAGGTTTATTATACAAAAATTCTTTGCAAGGTGAACGTAGAAAGATGATTATGACTTGAGTTGTTGCTGAATTTTATGGAAATTTGTGTTTAATATAGTTTGGTTTACTATTGATTGTATTGTTCCCGTCTGATTATAGTTAGTAGTATTAGTTAGGTTTATTATTGAATAACATTGTACTATTTTTTTTTTCTACGAATTAAGAAAAATATCTTTCGTATATGTGTTATATTTTTTATGTTGTTATGTTTTGATTTGTGATTCAAAAACTATTTCTATATTTTCCGTATTGGAATTTTTTTCATTTGATGTTTAGGGAAAACATAATAAGTTATAACAAGTGTTGTCACTAATTGTAGTGAATGAGTGACAACATTCAAATTGTCATTTTAGGTTCATTTAACTAGTGATAACATTCACGTTGTCACTCTAAAACTTGTTCGCGACAGATAATTCATATTCGTCGCAAGGAGTTGCGACGACATTTCATCTTTCGTCGCAAGAGTTTGCTACGAAAGTTCATATTTCGTCGCAAGGTCACTGAATTTTTTGGCGACTAAATAGCTTTTTCGTCGCCCGGATTTAATTAATTTGGCGACGATAACGGAATTATATTTTGTCTCAAGTACTGATTTTTGTTTGTGACGATTTTGTTTCCGTCGCAAACGGTTTGTTTTTTTTATTAATTTATTTATTTTATTATTTTTTATAACAAAATAAAATCAGCTGTTAAAAAAAATAAAAAAAAAACCAAAACCATATTTACTCAAAAATATTAAAAACCACGATTACCAATTAAATATCAAAATACAATACAAACATCAATTCAAAAATTACATAAAAACTTGAAACCATAAATGTATTAGTTCAAGAGGCACACTAATTTCATCTCGTTTTTATACCCCACTATTAAAACGCTTGAGCAAGGTGTTCAAAATAGCTCGGGTTTCCTGCAATTGCTCTTCTAATCGATCAACTTTTTCATCTTTAACTTTATTTTGTTCTTGCATTGTTTCTCGGGTTTCCTGCAATTGTTGTTCCAATCGATTCACTAGTTCGTCTTTCATTTGCATTTGTTCTTGCATTGCCTTCATTTGAATCTCCATTTGAATCTCCACGTCTGATGGTGTTGAAGAAAATCTCGACTTTCCAATCCTTGTGCTTGAACTTTTAATTCCAAGGCCTTTACTCTTTCCCAAAACCTTTTCAATTGCAGTCGAGTTGGCCGTGCTTTCGTCACTTCCATCACGCATGGTCTCGTCATAAACTCGCTCCAAATCAGCCTGAAAATGATTATGTACAAAAGTTTAGCAAAAAATTCGACATCATAACATCTAAATACGAGCATACCCAAAAAAAATCCTTACCAGTACACAACAACTTGACATATTAAAAAAAAAATCCATAGCCACACATCTAAACTTCGTACTTAATTAACATATCAAACAATTAACATGATAAACTAAAATATCCATATAATAAACCACAACAGCATATCCATATTCATAGATAAAAACCACATCCATATCCATATATCTCAACTAAACATATAAAGAATTAACATACTACCGATTGAAGAATATAATTACACTTTACTTACCGAAATGAGAAGTTGTTCAGGAGTTGCTGTCCCATTATACGGCTCTGTCTCTCCTTCCTCACTAATAGATGGTCCGGTTTCCCTCAACGCATCAATGCCCATGTAGGCTTTCTTATACGTGTCAACCACGGTAGGATTTTTGCCAAACTTTTTAAACTAAAAAATAGATTATACAATAAGTATGTATATTATATAAACTTAAATAAATTAAAATTATAGATTATGCCACTAACATGATTATAGGACCAACTATTGATACTTGTTCGACCCCAATGGTGGTCTGTCAACACTTTCTTTCTCGAGTCCTTGCATTTAATGACTTGGACTGTGAAAAATATTGCACAAATTAATACACATAAATATATGAAAATATAATCATAAATTAAAAGCATAAAATTTACCTTCCCATCATCCCCCGGAGTATAAATAGAATGAAACTGATCACATAGCCTCTCCCAAGTTTGAGCGCTAATCCTATTCGGACGATTTGCCTTAGCAGCTGCAGGTTAGGCGCTTTATCAAAAACCGCCTTCAATCTTTTATTTTTTGCATCTTTCCAACGACAATTGGCTGTCTCGTTGAACCATTTTTTCGTAGCCTCATTTTCAGGAAGTTTCCACGTTCCCTAAAAGGCATACAAAAAATTCCATAATTAATTGATAACAAAATAATTATAATACCTGAAATAAATAAAATAATTTGAACTTTCAAATACCTTAAATGCTTTCCACAATTCTTCGACACGACCCTCTTTCTTGTGCTTAGGCCATGAAATAGACGGATCAAAATTGTCCCAATGTGTAATCTCGTTACTAATTGCCACCGCCAACTTGTACCTGCCGGGTGCAACGGGAATACCCATACAGTCAAACTCCAAATCAACTATATCGGTACTTGTAGACTCATCACCTATAGGCTCAACAGAAATATCTTCCGTCGACATTGCTCGCCTGAGAAAGAAAATAAGATACACATATACAGAAATATATATAAGTCTCTAACCAAGCATCTTTATTACTCTATGTTTAGGGGTTATATCTCTTTCACCAATAATCATATCACTTTAATATTTTATATATAAAAGAAAGAAACGCTGGACAACCCTAAAAAACTCTAATGTTATTTTTGTAATTAAATATTGTTATTTTTTTTCTCTACTAATTTCTAACTATAATTTTTAACTATTATCAAATTTGAAACTAAATCCTGAATAATCCTATCTAATGGTACTTTTGTAATTATATATTTTTAATATTTTTTGTCTACTAATTTTTTAACTATAATTTTCAATAACTATCAATCTACTATTTTTCATCAATATATCTCAAATTTTAAGTGATAAAGATAGAAATTCGACTCGTTATTAATCTATGTATTTGGATTATAAATCTTAATATGTCAGATTTAAAAAAAGTTATGTTATATAAAATATGAATAATATTACATTATTAAATTTTACTATGTTATACTATGTTTTCTTATTATGTATTAAATTGATTATTTTTTTTCACTTTTGAAATAATATCCCGTGCATCGCACGGGGAAAAAATGCTAGTTTGTTATAAATAAATGAAAGATTCATGTATATGACAATATTACCCCCAACCCTTTATACCCAATTCTTAATTGTAACCACATTTTAATCAATTTTGTCCACAAAAATCCAATCTTGACTTTTTTTTGTCAAAAAAAAAAAAAAAATTGCCACCGGATTCCGACGTTGACCGGCATTCAACGCCAGTCTCCGGCGTTGACTTTTCGATTTTCCGGCGTTGAAATTTTATGTTTTTTTATTATTTTTTTCGCCGCACCGCCGGTCTCTGGCGTTGATTTTTTTTAGTGTTTTATTTTATTTTATTATTATTATTATTATTATTATTATTATTATTATTATTATTATTATTATTATTATTATTATTATTATTATTATTATTATTATTATTATTATTATTATTATTATTATTATTATTATTATTATTATTATTATTATTATTATTATTATTATTATTATTATTATTATTATTATTATTATTATTATTATTATTATTATTATTATTATTATTATTATTATTATTATTATTAATATTATTATTATTATTATTATTATTTTACATCCGCCGCTAAACGTTGACTGTAGTTGTGCTGTCACTGACAGTAAATTAACGTAATTATACTGTCAATGACAGTTAATGAACGTAATTGTACTGCTATTGACAATACATTTATGTAATTGTTCTGCCGGTGACAGTAAATTAACGTAATATTATTAATTTTTTTTTTGTTATTTTTTTTTTTATTTTGTTTGATTTGTTGACAAAGTCAACGTAATTATATTACCGTCGTTGACAGTAAAATAACTGTAAAAACAATAATATTACTATCAACCACATCAATATATTATTTTTTGGGTTTTTTGTTTTGTTTGAGTTATTCACGGAGTAACGTAATAATATTATTGTCTATTATTGTAATATTACTGTAAACACAATAATATTACTATGGTTGACGGTAATATTATATTACTGTTATTATAGAAATATTGTTGTCAACCACATCATTATTATTATTTTATTTGGATTTTTTTTGTTTGTTTTTCCTCCCAGTTTAGTTTTTGGCCGGCGTATATGTTTTGTCTCTTCGCAGCTTGTTTCCCTAACGTCATTAGGTTAACAAAATTATGAATGTAATTGGTAACCTAATTCCTAAATTAATTTAGCTAATTAAATTAATTACGTATGAATATAATTATAAGAAAACGTTATCGATTATCATCAAAATTTGATTAAAAAAATGAATCGCAAATTTAAAATAGGTTTGTAAAATAACCATTCGACAATATGCTGTGTGTCTTGTTACAGTAACCCTATTAGACAACACACATTATATCTTGTTACAGTTACGCTTTTGTACGACTTGCGAGAAACTTTGTTGTAAACATAGGTGGAACTTAGTTGGGGCTAGGGGTAGCTGTAAACGCCCCAAGATTACCAAAAATTTTTTTTTTAGGTATTTTGGCACTGTATTTTCTGAATATTAGTTTTAGAACCCATAAAGTTTTTGCAAATATGTATCTTATTCCTTAATATTTTCATTTCTTCTCCATAATTATATAT